TTTTTTTCTATTGCGCCACACGTCTATCGATCGATATATATCGTTATTGAATTATCGCCCAGCCCTAATTTGCATATCCTCCACAAAAACTTCAACAATTCAGTCATTTGAATATGGTTTGCATATGAAATTCAACATAAAATGGCAGAGTTAAAAGTGTGGCAGACCTATAGAAACCATGCAGCATCATTAATAATATGTTCTCTCCTTGCTCTTGGGGTCCCTTTGGGCGTCTGGGGTTTTGGGTCCCCGGCGCTTGCCTCAGTGCTCTGGGGGGATTGTCTTTGGCTCTTCACAACCTCTATTGACCATTTTTCCTTTGGATAAATTTTACATGCACAAGTGCACTCTCACAAACAACTACAGGTGCTTGGCTCCAGGTACTTAGGGATTCACTTCCATACAGAAAGCCCATATTCTTATCTTTAGCTACCACAGTATACACGTCTCTCTTTGCAGGTGATGAAGCAGACTGAAGATCTTTTATCATTGTCCTTTCTTGTAACAGCTACACTTTTGCACCTTCAGCTCAGCCTGCTGTATTTGTGGATGCTGAAGTATTTCAGCTCCTGTGTTACCAGTTACTTGCTAAAAAATCTGAACCCCTCTTCATAATAGTGTGCAGTGTTATTTTACTAGAAAAGTTGGTCCTGATCTAGTAAGATCACAATAAAGAGAGCTAAGTGTGTTGTGCAAACAATTGATGCACATTCAATAACTTTTTACAGGTTAGTGGAGTGGAGTGGTTGCTGTGTTTAAACAAGGATTTTGATTTTGTGGTAATGGCTCACACCATGGGGAGTTTGTGTGACCCAAAGGCAGTTGAAATGTGCAACTCAACTTTGCTTTGCCCACAGATGGTATCTCTATGTGGAAAAGATGCAGCCAGAAGGAAAGACTGTTTCTGTTTGAATGAAATCGAAAAAAGAAAAGAATGAAAGACTTGTTGCCTATGAAATTATTTGCAGTCAAAACATGCAGCAGTATAGCCTCAGGATCCTGGGCCATTTCAACTGTTACACCAGTCAAGTTTGTGGCTTTAGTTTTTGAAAGCAATGTCACCCAGAAATGCTGTCACCTCGACTTTTCTGAAACTCCTGAAGCACAACACCATTTTTTGCTTTGGTTTTTGTAATAGATAGATAATTTGTTTAATTGTTTTCTTGTCTTTTGTGAAATATATGTCAGATTTTAGTGCATATAAAAAAGTGGAAAAATGTTATCCAGCAGATATTCTCCCCCAAAAGTAAATATGGCTGCGTCCAAATCAGTTTATCCAGCAGCTAAAAAATAGCATTTCTCAACAAAGGATATTTTAATAATTTCTGATGCATATTCTTCCTCTTCTCTCGCTTTCTCTCTGCAGACATTGTTGTGAGTGACTTTGCATCTGATTTTCAAACATGCCAAATGTTAATGCAGGAGCAGGACCCACAGTTTATTAAATAGCACTGGGGTTGCCAAGGGATTACATTTGCATATAACTTTCCTGGTATTTTGCAGGTTTTGATGATCAGCATGTGTTCCTCATACTGACAAAGACTATATGGCTTATTCTTCCTGTTCTGCTCATTTACAGATGCAATTTTTAGTAGAACAGCTTCACTCTTGCTATAAAATTGCATATTTTCATACACGCAAACCTCTAGTAGTTTAGACACCTAGTGTTTTGAAAAAAGATATATAATTTATATTGTTGGTCTAACCTGAGCACAGCATGTTCTGGTTGCCCCATGTCAACCTTCAATAAGAATTTCCTTTACAAAGATTGCAAGCTTCTTGCAATCCCTCTTTCATAAGCACCAGGTTTATAAAGTGTATGACTTACAACTGTTCTGTTGACAGCTTTGATGTGTAGGATTTGATCTAGAGGGGCGCATCTGGCCTCAAATTAACAATTAACTAAATTAATTGTGAATCAGGGAATCCAATTCCAAAACACAAAAGGACATTTTTTGTTTTTGTAACAGCGCAATGTAACCAGTGGCTTTCAGGGACGTTAAATGAGCTTGAATTTTAAAAATGATAAAAGTTCATACAAATGAATAATCCCTGTATTGAGGAAAAATAATTGCATAAAAAATTTATTTATTTTTTTTTACTATTCAGAAGATTCGCCTAAAAACAGACTATTTGCTGTTGCTTTATCACTGATACAGGATCATTTTATGTGCAAGCCTTTTAACAGAAAATGCATTAAAGAAAGATGATTGTTATTCATATTTCCTCTCAGTTACCAGGTAACCTTGTGAGCTTCATTCATCTTTATATTCTGCAGTGAACCAAACTAGCAGTTGCAATGGACTATAATTCTTTAGAAAGAATGTGAAATGATAGGATCATACAATAGTGGACACAGGTCTAAACGTGGGCCTACCAGATAATCAATAATTGGGATGTTTAGTTGACCTACATCTGTTGAATTAGGAATAATATATTTTCATTTACTATATAATTGTGAATTATGGGCTCATTCCTCTTATGTTGATATGGTGGGCAGTTTAAGAGCATCTGATACTGAAATTGCCCATCTTTAAAAGAAAATAACAGCTCAATCAAAAGAATATGGCCAATATGAAAAAAGTTTGAACTCTCTTATAACAATGCATTAGAATTAAACTTTTAAACATGCTTGTTTCATAGCTTCTCTTATGCTCCTTGTTTTATTGATGTTTAATTTTATTAACCCGACATGAAGAGTCAGAGTGGAAAAGATATGCGGCAAATGCTGTAGGGTCAGGAGTCCAGCCTGTTGTGGCCATTTATGCTAAATTTTTGTAATTTGTTATTTCTACAAATTTAGTTTTTGTCTTTTGGTATATAGAATATATTTAAGTTAATTTAGAACCAAAATGTGTTATTTATTTTTTACATTTGGAGTAGTTTGGAGTAAGTTCTTAATTGTTTGTCCCTCCCATTAATTTGAGTGATCAAGAGCACACCAGGTGTTGGAGGATGTTTGGTAAAATGTCTAGTGTGGACGGGAGGTTTTGAAAAATGATTTTTTGACTTAAATATCGCGGCCTTCTGTTCCAACAAAAATAAAGTACCAAAGTTTCCAATGAAGGCTGTGGGTGGTAACAGGTGGTTTTGTTTGTTTTTCTAAAAAATCAAGAAGATCTTAAAA